AACGTACCCTACCTTACCCTACCTACTACCTACTACTCCTACCTACTACCACCACTCTCTCTCTCTCTATTATTACTTACGGTAACAAACTAAGTAATACTCTCTCTCTCTCTCTCTCTCTCTCTCTCTCTCTCTCTCTCTCTCTCTGTAAATCTTCAGCCAGTAAAAGGAAAACCTCTCTCTAACAAAATGGAAATCTCTCGTCTCTCTCTCTGTATAGTTTCAGCCAGCAAAAGGAAAATCCCTCTCTCTCTCTCTCTCTGCTTTTCAGTCTTCAAAATGAAAATCTCTGTACGACATATTCTGTACTGCATTAAGAACGTTTCAATTCCTACTTCCAAAAGCCAAGAATCTCTTTTCTGAGACTTTTCCAACTTAGGTATTTAGCTACCTTTGAACTCATCGTGGTTTTTTTTTTTTTTTTTTGGGACAAAAGTGCTCAAATTTTTTATTGAGAAGAACCGAATTAAAAGAATTTTAAGATCTTATTTGCAAGTAGAAATCGATGTGTATTAGGCAATTATGCATATTGAATATTGAATTTATGATGTAGTTAAGCATGCCAAAATTATGATGAGAGGAATTTGGTATTTTAATCAATCATTGAGTGAATCTTTTCCATGAAAATGGTATTCATGTCATATGAATGAGATACTTGATCATAAAAGAAATAATTGGAAGGCAAGATAAATTTGATAATATAAGATAAGAACAGTTATTTACTTTTGATAAAAGGTTAGAATTACTCTTAGCCATTAGATATAAAATTGGGTGGCTAGGATGGGCCATCCATTACGCTCGGAGTTCAAAGTCAAACATTGTATCACATCCTTAGCCATTAGATTTCACATCTTACAACTAGAAAATGATTTGGTATTCTTACATGATAGGTAAACAGTCTTATGGCATACAATTCCATAAGCTAAATTCATTTATTATTTTGGGAAATATTGCAAAGACATTTTGGAGGAATATTGAACATATAGTTTATATACTATGAGATTGTTTATTTTTAGTACAAGAATGTCACAATTATTTTTAGCCATTGGATGTGAAATCTAATATATGACAGTGTATCACAACATTCAAGAAATTTTATTATGGATTTTGTGTCAAACAATGACATATCCTCAACTACCAGATTTCAAATCTAAATGATCAATGATGATTGTGACATCCTTGTATCGAAAGTAAATGGTCTTATAATATGTATTTCCAAAATTTATTTGGAAGATAAATATAAAATGAGAGTACATGAAACTACATTTTGAAATATCAAGCTAATAAAATGTTTTAGAATGGGGAGACATGGTTATCACGATAGATGTTGGAGAAATTTATCTGCAGAAATCTTGAAAGAAAAAGTAAAATTACAACAATTTAGAAGGAAAACTTGTGTCAGTATCGATTTTCAACTAATTGGGTGAGTCTGCTCGGACTGGCCTGAGTAACTTAAGCTCACCAAACCCGTGGAGCATGAGTATCCCCGAGTTGGGTATCCAACTTGGGGATCTTAAAAAAAATTAAGAAATCTATTTGTAATATATTTTTTAGGGTGCAGTTTGTATAGAGCCTAGGTTCTAAACAATCAAATTAGAGCCTACCTTCAAATAGTATCGGGAAATATGGTTTCAATACTGAAAATCTTTGTGATAGCCTTAAAATGTATTTTTATCTTTATTTATAAAGTTTAATGCCTCAAAAATAGTGTAGACCGATAGATCTATGAAAACTTGAAAATCTTGAAAATTGACGGTCCAAAAATACGTTACAAAATGCACTATTTCCAGAGCTTGAAATCTTTTTTTTTCTCATATCCATGCATCTTGATGTCGAGATTATCAATTTTAAGATATTTAGGCATCAAAAGGACCTCTTCTAATGAAATTTTTGAGGCATGCTCTAATTTGATTGTTTTGTGCCTTAGCTCTGTATAAACTTTTTCCTATTTTTTATGTGTTGTATCATTTTGGTAGATATTGGAAAGTATTTTGACCATGAATACTTATTTTTACATTTCCCATATGTTTAGATTATTTCAAAAATACCCTTTGATCACAAATTTAGGGCTTTTAGATGCGTGTGATTGGTTGTGCTGGACTGTCTTATGGGATGTCTAAAGCCAAGTCCAAACAGAGAGAGGGTAGGTTGAGAGAGAGAAAGAGAGAAGATAACGGTAATTTAGTTGTTAAGAGACTTTTTTTTTTTTACTGCATGGTAAAAGCAAGAAAAAAAGTGACTAGATTAAAGATGTAATACTAAAGCGCCATTGGGGTACCAGAAAATCTATTACATGACAATAGATTACAAGAAAATATGACCTTTCTACATTTTAATAGTAAATAAATCTAAAGAGATTATCAGATATTTCTCCAAAATAACGAAATCCATTACGAGCCATGGGTGAAAAATCTATTATGCACGGTAATCTTTGGGAAATCTTTCGCCTGTCTCTCTTTGCCCTATGCGGAATTACTGCAACCTTCTTTAGAGCTATGAATTGTGAGTTGTGAGAGTGGCATTGGCAATGGATTGTAATTGCTGCGGGCCGATCTGGGACTTTTCCAAGAATTGTCCCAACACTTCCTCAGCATCATCTGGCGGTGTAATATGAGTCCCAACAAAACATTCTCTGACTGACAGAGCTTGACTCGTTTTGGATACTGGCAGGAGACTTTCATTGTCTGTGTTTCTCTTTGAAGACTGAAAATAGGCATCCTTGGGCACTGATGGCGGGTTGATTGGTTCTGAAATGTACCAATCCTCGAAGTGCTCTTCCCAGGTTTCCTGATCCATGGCCCTATCCGCTTAAAAAAATATCTTTAAGAAAACCTTTGGTTTGCATAAGGTGCTCCCATTCTCTTTAAGCCCCTTTTCTTTCAACGGCTAACCTGAAGAGAGATACGCAGGAGAGTCGATATTGCTAACTTGAAGAAAGAGAAGCAGGAGAGTCCTAGTAAGTCTTAAACAATTATAATAAAAAATTTCACATAACATAATCTTCATAAGATATTAGTAAAAGCTCAATTGAAGTAAGATACATATTTAGTCTCATCCAATGCCTCAAAATTTTTTACTGTAATTATCAAACCTTCTAGTTTACTAATCAAACTTCTTTCCATTTTTTAACTTGTATCGTAAAGATTTTGAATTTGGTATCATAAATTTATTGTTTATTTGAAATTATATAGAGAGATATTTGAAAGACTTCTATAAATAAAATAAATAAATAAAAATAAAGCTTATCACAATAAAATCATGTTATTCAAATGACTTATCACTTTGAAACCAAAATCTAATGAGGTTAGAAGATATGTGATTCCATGTAAGTATCAAAGGCATGCAAAATAAGTAGAAAATGGTGTCATCATCACTTTAGAATGGTACAAGTTACTATTAGAAAATCTTTTTGGAATGTTGATGATCTTATTATTAGAAAATCTTTTTTGAATGGTGTGATGATGACTTTAATTCCACATTTTAGTGGAATTTTGTGACAAAAAGAAAAAAGTGATAGTTTATAGGTAAGTGCTGGTAAAATGTCGGTAATGTATTTCCCATATTTCTTCCGGATATAACCAAACTGTAGCAATGTATTTCCCAAGTTGCATCCCAATACTACCCAAACAGTAACAATCCATTTGCAAGTAATGTATTATTACACAGTAATGTATTACGCTAGTAATATATTTCACAGACAATATATTTTCAGGTATCCAAACGACCCCTAAAAATATTAGGGGGTAGCACCAAGCACTAACAATATCAAGAGAAGGCCCAATCTAGCTCTTTGTAGGTAGAGTCACCAGTTCTACCAGTATTACTAACTCAGTAGCTATTACCAGATACATATGTTCAATATAAGGATGAATTATTTCAAGCACTTTGAGAGTATGTGTTGAACTTTGTATATTTTTTGGGTTTGTTGCTATGCTAAAAAGGTTACATATACAAAATAGGGTGTGGTTTGTATAACTCTAAAACATCAAAGTAAGGTGCACATTCAAATAGTGTTGAGAGATGTTGTTTCCATATTGAAAATCTTTGTGATGACCTGAAAATTTATTTTCATCTCAATTATAAAATTTAAAACATAAAAAATAGTGTAGATCGAGCAAATCCATGAAAACTTCAAAATCTTGAAAATTGACGAACCAAAAATATATTATAAGATGCACTATTTCCAAGACTTGAAATCCATTTTTTTCCATTTTCGTGCATCTTGAGGTGGAAATGATCGATTTGAGAATTTTTGGGCATTGAAACAACCATTTGTTAGTGAAATTTTTTAAGGTGTGCCTTAATTTGATTGTTTAGGGCCTCGGCCTTATATAAACTTTTTCTTTTTTTTTTTAACAAAATATAGGGCCTAAAAGTACTCTAGGTAGTTTTGGAGCAAATGTACCATTTGCTCCTTCGGGAGCGTATAATCTTATAGGCTCCTAAATGCTAACGTGCTATTAGCACAAAAAAATTACAATTTATACTAATGTGGTGTTTTTGGACCCTATTTCTATGCGGCCAAGCCCACATATGTAGAAACACGGACCTATTAATAAATCTATTTTTGGAATAGATTTTGGACTTAATTATTAAGGACATGTAATCTCTAACATAGACATCATGAATATGAAAAAATCAGTAAATTTTAAAAACTATCAATAATAATTCTAGTAAAAAAACATTTGGACCGTTAGTTTTTATTGTTTTTAGATGGAACACCTATTTGCATCCATCTTTAAGATGGATGCTTTACATTTTTTGGACCGCATATATAGTCATGTGGTCTAGCCTGCATGAGACTCTTTTTCTTTTCTTTTCTTTCCATTCGAAAAAGTAATATAATTTCATCACATTTATACAACCTCTCTTTCAATGAGTCAACATATGATTCAAATATAAGACACATCATTGCTATTATCAACGGAAAATTACAAAAACCCCCAAGACTACATTTTTTATGCAACTTACCCCCAACCTTACTTTTCTGTCACTTTTTCCCTCAAAATATACTTTCTATGCAAATACCCCCAATCAAATAAAAAATAAAAAATGCCTAAACTACCATTCTTTACTTTTATCTTACCAACGCCTTTCTCTCCTCTATCCCACCAAAATAGGGGCTCCGGAACTATGTAAGTGCAGCTCCGACACTATGTAAGTGCAGCTCGACACTAAGGCTCTGACACTATGTAAAGTGCAGTCTGGCAGTAGGGCTCCAGTACTATGTAAAGTGTGGTCTGATAGTAGGGCTCCGGCACTGTGTAAAGTGCAGTCTGGCAGCAAGGCTCTGGCACTTAATAAAATGCAGTCCAATAGTTTCAAAGGGCGGTCTGGCAATTGGAAAG